AACGATAATGCATTTATGAAATAAAAATGATTATATGTTAAGGAATAACACTTACTGATAATGAAGTGTTTTCTTGCTTCTTTGCTTTCCTCAAATGGACTAAATAAATATTTTAGATATAATCAAGTTTGTTTTCTCTGCTTGGACCAAACAGACAGAGATGTTGAAGCGATATAGGTCTTTAAAATGCTGCAAATGAGTCTTGACATTGCTGAATTGTTATGCATCCAGGGTACATAGGCTAGAAATCCAGGCTATCTCCTTTAATCAGGAAAATCATTTTTGTGATACTTGAATTTTGAGTCCTGTGGGGTTAGGAAAAGGACCAGCAGGGAGAATATCAGAGTCAGAATTGGAAATGATGCCCTGAGTCTTGCTCCGACCTTCCCTGTGTAACAGTCTGCATTTTAATTCCTGGCTCCTAGCTGAGTAGCCCTTCTTCCTATCTCAGAGTGGGAGACTGGGGCATCAGAGAGTTCTGAATGGGTATGGAGGTGGCCTGCACAGTGGAACGGGAAGGAGCTTGGCTGTGGCCTGCCGTGGTGACTTGACTTACCCTGGTGTGTATTCTAGGATCAAGTGTGTGTGCCTAGCTGCAAGATGGCTTTAAACCAGACTGTCCTCTGGCTCGTGGAGCAGTGCGCTTCACTGGTGGCACTGACTTCATGTTCTTTCCCCATAGCCAGCATGGGTTTTGTACTCTCTCCTGTCTTCCATCCAGAGCAGCACAATTGGCCGTCAGCAGGCCTGGTGGGAGGAGGTCGTGTGTGGTCCTCCTGTGTGGGGTGTGGGAGCAGCTGAAACCTAGAACCTTGCTGTATTCATCTTCTGTGGCTGCTATAACAAATTACCACAAACTTGGTGACTCAAAACAATAGAAATTTCTTGCCTCACAGTTCTGGAAGCCAGCGCTGCCCTCCCTCCAGAGGTTCTGGGGGACAGTCGTTCCTTGCTCTGGAAGACCAGCTACTTGTGGCTCCAGGAGTCCCTGGTTTGTGGCTGTACTATTCTCTGCCTACCTCTGTCTTCATATGGCTTTCTTCTGTCTTTCTCTGTGTCTCAAATATCCCGTTTCACTCTTTTCTTTTCTTTCCTTTTTTTTTGTTTTTTGTTTTTTTGAAACGAAGTCTCGTTCTGTAGCCAGGCTGGAGTGCACAGGCACAATCTCAGCTCACTGCAATCTCTGCCTCCCCAGTTCAAATGATTCTCCTTCCTCAGCCTCCCGAGTAGCTGGGACTACAGGCCTGGGCCACCATACCCAGCTAATTTTTGTATTTTTAGTAGAGACAGGGTTTCACCATGTTGGCCAGGATGGTCTCGATCCCTCGACGTCATGATTCACCCACCTCAGCCTCCTAAAACGCTGGGATTACAGGCATGAGCCACTGTGCTGGCCCCCTGTTTCTCTTTTAAGGACACCTGTCATTGGATTTAGGGCCCACCCTAAATCTAGGATAATCTCTTCTCAAGATTCTTAATTAAATTACATTTGCAAAAGCTCTTTTTCCAAATAAGGTCACATTCATAAATTCTAGGGATTAGGATGTGGATATGTTTGGAGGGCCACTATTAGACCTGCTACACTTGTACTGATTAGCAGTGACATCTCCTAAAAACTGATCTATCCTGGCTTGTTTTACTTGCAGGGTGCCTGGGCATGGGGGCCAGGGCAGAGGGTGACTTTCAAAGACAGATGAGACCCAGAGTGTGCCGCAGGCTGGAATTGAGGGGTGGGAGGGAGAGGCTCTCCCTGCATGGGATTCTCTGACTCGTGCCTCTTCATGAATTGTACAAGCAGAGGGCCATTGCCTTGTTGATCTCCATGTCCTTCACAATGCCTAGCACAGGTGGCAGCTGGTAAATGGAGAAGGAAGAGCAGAATCAGTCTTGAGGCAAAGCAGTGATTCAAGTGGATTAACAAGATGCTCAGACCCTGGAGGAGCAGAAATGGCTCATTTCAGTCATTCACTCAGCTCTTAGTGCGTGTTAGGGGCCTGTTCCATCCTGAGGACTCTTAGAGAACAAGACCCCGGCATCATCCTCATGCAGGGTGCTCTGGCTTGAAGTCACACTAGCCAATTTCTGCGGCCTCTGCAGTGCCGCCTCTCCCTCCCTGTGGAATTTCGGAAGGGTGCTGGCTCTTAATCCATTCTCCCAGGGCCAGTTAGGATCTGGGCCCTACAGAGGTAAGGGAGAGAAAGGGATTAACCAAAAAGATGAATTCCCTGGCTGTGTGCTTCCAGGAGTCTGTGACTGGGTGGGATTTTTAACCTGATGTGTTTTTTGTTTGTTTGTTTTGTTTTGTTTTTTGAGACTGAGTTTCTCTCTCATCGCCCAGGCTGGATGGCAATGGCGCAACTGGGCTCACTGCAAGCCCCGCCTTCCAGGTTCCAGCGATTCTCCTGCCTCAACCTCCCAAGTAACTGCAATTACAGGCATGCACCACCATGGGGCTAATTTTGTATTTTTGATAGAGATGGGGTTTCTCCATGTTGGTCAGGCTGGTCTTGAACTTCTCGCCTCAGGTGATCTGCCCACCTCGGCCTCCCAAAGTGCTGGGATTACAGGCGTGAGCCACCGCGCCCAGCTAACCTGATGTTTTTAAGGCTCCTCCCAACCCGGAACTCCTGAGACATACCCCAGTAGGGTGAGCTGAACGCCCTCAGGAAACTGAAAGTGCTTAAAGGAGTGCCCAAAGCCCGAAGAGAAGTGACGTGGGGTGACAGTGTCGCCGTGGCTCTTCTCCAGCTCTGCAGCGATCAGTGGGACCAAGGGCCAAGGAGGAGGAGACACCCAAAGAGAGGGAATAGGACAGTGTTCCCAGTAGCTTTCTCTCAAAGGACCCAGGTTAGCGGACAGGAGGCCGCATAAACCTGGTAGAAGGTTTTTGTTGGACCACATTTCAAACACTGTAGCACGTCAGATGCCTGCTTCAGGCCTCTGAGGTAGCTGAGAACCTGGCTTTTACGGGTGACACTGGAAGAAACGTGCCATCTTTGAGCCCCTCCAGCCAATGCTTCTGTCCACTCTGTGGTATGTCTGCTGCTGCCTTAGGTGTCTACGGGCTGGACTGGCTATGCTGGAGCATTGGCCCCGTGTTTGGTGTGTGGTGGTAGCGAATGACATACCAAAGATCACGATTGCTGTGTGTGGTGGTCCTGGCTCTGTTTTACTATAAATGGTTTGAGAGCACAGAGTGGCCTTTTTTATTCTCTTACCAGAGAATCTGCTAGTCCCTGCAGGAGCTATGCTATGGGAGCTCCACACATCAGCTCCCCGTGCCCTGGTGTTCCTTAGAAGATGGTGGTGGTAGAGTTGGATGCATGAGAGCCAGAGGGACCTGAGAAATTCCCTCTCCATCTTGTGTTGCAGGGACCCACAATAGACACAGAGCTTGAAAAGGAAGCCCCTGTATTTTACTCACTGACTGGAAACACAGTTATCATAATAAAGTGGTGCTAGAACAGCCCTTCAGGTCTTGTCTTCCTGCTTGGTGTGTCTGGCTTAGTGTTCAGTCGGGTTCATGCCTTTGGGGAGAAGAGTGTCTTAGTTGGGGCTGCTATAATGAGATACTGAGGTCTATGAAAAACAGTTTCTTTCTCACAGTTCTGGAGGCTGGAAGTCTTAAGAGCGGAGTCCCAGCATGGTCAGTTCTGGGAGGGGCTTGCCTCCTGTGTACAAACAGTCACCTTCCTGTTGCATCCTTGCATGGTAGAGAGAAAAAACAAGCTCTCTGTCATTGTGTAAGGGCACTAATTCCATTTATGAGATCCCCATCCTCACAACCTCATCACCTCCCAGCTCTGCAGAGATCAGTGGGACCAAGGGCCAAGGAGAAGACTTGAACTTCTAATACCATCACGTTGGGAGTTTGGATTTCAACATGAATCTGGGGGAACGGGGGTGGGCACAAACATTCAGATGGCAGCAGACAGGCTTGTGAATCCCAATTTGGGTTGTGATAGGAGGTGTAAGACCCAGGGTATTTGCAGGCACAAAAGTTGAGGCTTAGAGAGGGGAAGGGTCTCCTCCAAATTAAACGTAAAGTAGATGCACAGTGAGAACTAGAAACCAGGCCTCAGTCTCCGCATCAGTGCGTCTGCCCCCACTGCTTGTGCCCCTTGCCATCTTAGTGCTACCATGTGGCAGCTGCATCCAATCCAAGGTGGGTGCCACCCTGCTTGGGGCCATGTGGTAAAGCAGCACTTACTGACTGGGGTCACAGATGGGGCAACATGCTGGAAACGCTGTCGGGGACGGAAAGAGAAGAAAGAAAGGGGCAGGAGGGTAGGGAGAGGAACTGAGGATACTGAGCAGCAGTCGCCTGCCAAAATTCTTCAGTGCAGCTTGTCTAGCAAAGCTGGTCTCCAGCCGAGTAAATACAGTGGATAGCTGACGGGCTGACAGCAGGCATCAAACAGTCTTAAACTGCCCCAAATCCACAGCGCTTTTGAAGCAGCAGTAGAAAAAGGATGCCTGAGCAGAACAGAGGCCTGAAACTTTTAATAGTTTCTTCCAGGCCTCAGGATGTCCTGATGAGGTATTAGAGGAAGTAATTCAGGAAGAAAAGGACAAATAACCACCTCCGTCTGGAGGCCGACCCGAGGGCTGGCCAGGGCTGCTCGCAGAAAGGGCAAGCGTGGCCCTGCAGCGATCCACGAGGCTCTCGTTAGCCCACCCGTCTACTGTGGTGCACCAAGCCTCGGGGCTCTGACCCTTGTAAATAACAGACAAATTTCTTGTTTGCTTCGGGGCAAATGTAAACCACACAGTGCCCGCTGCATGTGGGTGAAATCATTAACTTTTCCTCGCTGTCGGAAGGGTGCTGGGTACAAATTAGATATTGTTGCCTCCAACCTCAAGGCCCTCCCAAGGATCTGCCCACCTACCCCCCAGACCAGGAGGCTGTCGAGACCACAGGACTTCAGAGAAACATGTGGGCCTGCCAGAACTGAACTCACCCTGCCTCTCTTTGTTTTTTCTTCTCTCTTTTCCTTTAGGGTTTGGCTTTGTCACTTTTGAGAATGAAGATGTTGTGGAGAAAGTCTGTGAAATTCATTTCCATGAAATCAATAATAAAATGGTAAGTGTGTAGGGGCTGTGCTGAAATGGAATGCCCCCTTCTTCTAGGTACACACACTGCCTTGCAAACTGCTTCAGCCCATCATCAGGCTAGAGTGGGTGGGGGTGGGGAAGGGGGCTAGATGCTCGGGGGCTAGATGCTCGGGGTCCAGGCCTGTGAACAGTAGCGGTTGTTTCAGACTGGGGTGGACAAACTCTAGAAAGGGCCAAGTCATGAATATTTTCATCTTTGCAACCCATACAACTCGCTGCAACTATCCAGTTCTCCTGGGTAGCATCCATAGGCGATGCATACATGAAGGAGTGGGGCTGTTTCAATAAAGCTTTGATTACGGACACCAAAATTTGCACTTTACATAATTTTCACAGATCACAAAATATTATTTTTTTTAACCATTTAAAATGTAAAAACCAGGCCAGGCAACTAAAGAACTACTCGGCTCTTCGGAAGGCCAAGGCAGGAAGATCTCTTGAGGCCAGAAGTTCGAGACCAGCCTGGGCAACATAGCCAGAGCTCATCTCTTAAAAAAAAAAAAAAAAGAACAACAACAACAAAAATTAGCTGGGCGCAGTGCTCCTGCAGCCCCACCTACTCGGGAGGCTAAGGTGGGAGGATCACCTGACCTCAGGAGGTTGAGGCTGCAGTAAGCTGTGATCACACCACTGCACTCCAGCCTGGACAACAAAGTGAAATGCCGTCTCAAAAAAATAAAATGTAAAAACGATTCTTAACTCTTGGACTTTTCAAAAACAGGCAGAGGAGCTAAATTTCTTTTTCTTTTCTTTTCTTTTTTTTTTTTTTTTGAGACAGAGTCTTGCTCAGGTGCCAGGCTGGAGTGCAGTGGCACAATCTCGGCTCACTGCAACCTCCGCCTCCCGGGTTCACGCAATTCTTCGGGGCTGAATTTGACCTATGAATCGTAACTTGCTGACACCTGGCTTTGGATATTCTTTTGCTAAACAGCTTTTGAGGAGTATATCCTAGATAGGAAGTTCACTGCACCAAACTATTTTTCTCTTTGAGTCCTGCTGGAAAATTAACATTCCCTCCCTTGCCATCAGTTAATTTCTGCCCTCATGATCAACTGCTTTCTCCTGTCTCTTTGGCTCTTTAAAGTTCCTTTTTCTGCCACAGCAGCCTCAAGAGGAAGGGAGGTTGGATTATTTTAAGTTTGGGAAGCCAGGTAGGCCTCCCAGATAAATGGCCACCAGAGGGTGCCATACCATGCATAGCTTGTGCACACTCAAAGTCTCAAACTCCTTTCTTCAGATTGAGTAGGGGGGTGAGAATTCCCTTCTTTGTTGGTTCCAGAAAAATAGAAGCTCAGCAGGTGTTTCTGGAACTATCAGCAGATCCTGTGGAGCAACAACATTTCTGGGTGGCCATGCGTACCTCCAGCCTCAAGAGAAAAGGGAGGACAAATTTGTGTTTCAATTGCAGCTGTAACTTTAATATTTTCTTCCTTTTGTCAAAACATTTCTTGCCTCTGAAACATGCATTCAGACATGCGTTGTATATTGGTCTGATATGTGTTCACCAGCTTTAAATTCAATAATAGAGCTTTTAGTGCAGATAAGATCAAAGCAATCTGCTTAGCATGTGGTGCTACAGGCCTGATTCAATATTTGACTTGCTAATTTTTTCCCAGGGCACTAAAATAATATTGTTCATATTGTTCCTTGCCATCATATGCATCTGAAATGAAAATACTCTTTTTTTGCATACTGTATGTTGGAGGCATCAGCTCAGACATTAAAATGGTAGGGGGGAGATAAATGTGGAGGAATAACACAGGTTCCCTCATAGGCTTTCTCTGCTCCCCAAATGTCAGCACAAGTTTACAGTTGGTACTTTTCTCTTGTAGGTTACTACTTGCCATTTTTCTTTTTATTTTTTTAATTGAGACGGAGTCTTGCTCTGTCGCCCTGGCTGGAGTGCAATGGTGTGATCTTGGCTCACTGCAACCTCCGCCTCCTGAGCTCAAGTGATTCTCCTGCCTCAGCCTCCCGAGTAGCTGGGATTACAGGTATGCGCCACCATGCCCAGCTAACTTTTGTATTTTTAGTAGAGGCGGGGTTTTGCCATGTTGGCCAGGCTGGTCTCGAACTCCTGACCTCAAGCGATCCACCCACCTTGGCCTCCCAAAGTTCTGGGATTACAGGCATGAGCCACTGTACCTGACCACTACTTGCTGTTTCTAAAATAAGAGAGACAGAGGACGTAAATGAAACCTGCATCCAGTGTCCAGATGCCTTGTTTATCCTAGCCAGAGCATGCCACTGACAGACTCCACTAAGGCTGCTGGGCAGTGGAGAACAGAAGAGGCAGCAGAGAGTGCTGGCAGGTGCCATTCCTGTCCTGCCAAGACTAAAGGGTTTATCAGGAAAGGCCAGATGTGGACCCATAAGACTGCTCCGTGTGTCACCTTGAATGCATATGTATAGCTCTTCGCTGTTGACAGGCTTTGAGATGAACCTGAGACACAGATGGGGAAAGGCTTGATCCTGGGAAACTGAGGCTCAGGGGATTGGCCCCAGGCTACCCAGAGAGTGAAGAAGCATAGGTCTTGAGCTTACTGGTGCCAAATGAACTGTATAGACACCTGTTGGAGCTTGTGGGTGGAAGGGTGAATCCCCAGATGACTCAAGCAGCAATCAGGAAGTAGAGCTTCTGCCCCAGGAAAAGAACCCATGGTCTGGCTTGAAGCCAGTTTTCACAGGTAGTGCCTTCTCTTCCACCCAGGTGGAGGTTGACCATGTCAGGTGCACATAACAAGGTTTTTAGTGTAAGGGTTTGTGTGTGCCTCTGAATCCGGGGCTAGTCCTTGCTCTTCAAGAGAATGAGCAAAGATGGAGGTAGACCAAGCAGAGGAAGAAGTGGGGGCAAAGTGGTTAGGATCACAGGCTTTGGAGCTGTTGGTCCACATTCCCAGCACAGCCCCAGTTATGAGCTCCAAAGTGGGGAGTTTAGAGGCCCTGGGAGAGGACTTTGCATTAGAACACAGTCTTGCTGAGCTCCAGTAAGACAGGGCTGGGGATACTGCCTCATTGGGTTGTTAGAGACTGGGTGATGTACCATGGGCAAAGGTCTCAGCACAGTGTCTGCACAGGGTGCAAGCATGATCCATGTTAGCTTTCGCTATTATCCTTGCCATCATCCACGTGCTGTCCTTGAGAGATATTTCTCCAGCCAGTTCCCCTTCTCTGAAGAAGCGTGGAATTTAAAGGGTGTTGGTAGAGAAGCCTGGATCCTGAATTGTTTTGGATTTTGTGATACTGGTTTCTACTTCTGAGGCCCAAGGAAAAGGAAATGAGTTTAAACTGGGGTATGGACAGAATTCAAATGAGAGATCTGGAAAAACGGAAAACTCAGAGACTGCCAAGCAGGAACACGGCTGATTGTTAGAACGTGCATAGGAGTGTTTCATAAACAGGACTGTGCTGTGAAACCACAGACCCATCTCCTCCAACCCTCACAGTCTTTCTGGGCATCTGGCAGGAAGTGGCAGATAGCTGCACCCCCGGTACATATTGGAGCTATGAGTTTTCATATTCACAGATAGGAAAGGTCTTACTGCAGATTAGTCACAGACATAGGAATTGAATCCAGGTCTTCCGATTCAATCTCATATGCCTGGTACTTAGTAGACCCTGTGTAAATACTGTGTAAATAATTGTGGACTAAATAAAGGATTCACGGAAGGACCATGTGTTTGTGAGGTCCATTATAGTTCTCAAAGCCATTTCCCATCTAATTGGGTTGGGGAGTCTCTTCCTGGGCATTTTTTAAAATGGAGGTCCTTTTCTACCATGCAGAAGGACCAGGAGCAGGCATGAGTCCTTCTACCTACAGGGGACCAGGATAGCTGTCTTTGAGAAGTGAGGATCACAGGAATCCTTCCCTTCATTCCCCATGTAGACCCTGCCTGAAGGAGGTCATCTGGTGGGTGGCAGGAGGATGCCTAGAAAGACCCCACATGACCCCCTTTCACATACAAAGATCCCACAAATAGCTGACATTTGGTGGTACAAACTACAGACTGCTAAACACTTTATGCATCATGCGTCTTATTTCATTTGATTTTGACTTACTCTTTAATCATTCTCCCCATTTACAGATTGGCAAGGCGAGGCCGAGAGAGGTAAAGCAGTTTGCCCAAGGTCACATGGTCGGCAAATGGCAGCCCCAGAATTCAAGCCCAGAAAGCTGTACTCCAGAGCTCACATTTATACCCTTCAGGCAGTGTGTCCTCTTCAGGCCAAAAGGGACTTTCAGGCAGTGTGTCCTCTTCAGGCCAAAAGGGACTAGCTGGGCCGCAGGCCCTCCGCCACTGACTGCCCTTTCCCAGTCAGCTATGTTGTGACCCATGTGGCTCCGTGTTCTCCTAGGAGAAGAGCAGAGGAGACAGGCCAGATTCTCAGCTAGGGAGAAGGACCACGCTTCGGTTTTAGAGGTCCTAATCTCCATGCCTCTTCCTCCACTGCCACAGACACAGATAAGTGACAAGCATGGGCCGGGAGCTGACTGCCACCCAAGCTCAGGGCCAAACATACAAGCCCTCCAAGCCAGAGCGAATGCAGATGTGGCTCCTTATCAACACACACACACAGATGCATGCACAGAGCCGCCTCAGGACCCTCCAGAGAGGGGCTCCTCCCTGGCTACCCTGTGTGCCCCAGCACGGGTGCAGCTAATAATGCCTTCCGTGGCATCTCCCTGATTGAAGCAGCCCCTGAGCAGCAGGAACACTTGCTTGATGAGTCGCCAGAGCCCAGCCTTCAAGTGGCCTCCTGACGATCGGGGCAGCAGCAGGAAGGGAGGTGTGAATTGGCAAGAGCCACCTCTAGGCATCCGCAGAGGCCTAGTGCAGCCTCCAGCTTGAAAGAATATTGGGGAGGCATCACCACCCTCGTTGGGTAACAGCTTGGGTGCAGTCTGAAAGGTGCCTGGGACGAGGGCATCTCGGGTAGAGCCTTTCCTCCCACCTGATTCAACAGGAA